TGATGATGATGATGCAGATAATCGCTGGGATATCGTGGGAGCTCTCTCGGGCACTTGTCAGAGGCAATTTCGAGGCCTCTTGGGGGCCGTCTGGGGGCCTCTTTGGGGCCTCTTGGGGCTCCTTGGAGGCCACTTGGGCTTTCCTGGGGGCCTCTTCGGGCGGAAGGCTGGAATTGTTCGTTCGTGTTCCCCCTCTTGGGTCCCTCTTGGGGCCGTCTTGGAGCTCTCTTGGGCTGATTTGGGCCCCTCTTCGTATTGGGGCTCTCTTGGGCCGTCAGGGAACCTTCTTGGGTGACTCTTGGGCCGTATTGGGCCTGTCTTTGGGGGCCCTGGAGCCGTCTGGGAGCGTCAGAGGCTCGAAAAGGGGATAACGTGAAAAACATCAAACAGACATAATGAAAAGCATTGATGTTTGCCTCTCGGGGCCCTCGTGGGGGTCCTTTTAGAGCGCTCTCGGGGTTTCCTTGGGGCTATCTTCGGCTGTCTTGCAGGTATACAGGGCCATCTGAGCGGCCTTGGTAGCTTCCCAGGTCCGTCTTGGAAGCCATCTAGGGGATTCTGACCGCCTTGGAGACCGCCAGGGACTGGGCGCCGAATGCCTCAGGAAGAGGGGGCGGTGCGCGCAACAAGGTGCGGCCCGGAGGGGGGGACGCCTTAGAGGATTACGGAAACCTTGCCAGACAGCACTTGGCATTCGACCACGCCTCAACGTGCCAGGGGGCACTGTGGCGGATACACTTTGATCCGCGGGTCGAGAGCGAGCCTCTTCCGGTCGAAGCTAAGCAGGCCGCGCACAGCTTTAATTGACAGAGGGAGGAAAACAGAAGGAGGGGCCTCACGTCAAGGCCAAGAGAGGGCTGTGGCGGATACACGCCGCCCCAAGCCTGGTCCATTTTGGCATGGCTGGGGAGGCATATGCACCGCTCTCGGGGGCCAGGCCTGGGGCAGCAGATATGTTGAGATCTCGCTGTCTTGGCTTCAGGGGCAACGCCAGGGGGGGGGGGGGGGCTGGCGCAGGGCGGGGGGAAGCATCGATCCCCAATCGCCCATTCCTCGCCGAGCAGAGCCCAGGTGCTGCCCAGGAACGTGGGAGGTCCCCCCCTCGAGGGCCAGTCGCCGACCTATCGGCGGAGCATCGCCGATTCCGGGTCAACGTCCCCCGCCTCCGAGCCAGTCCGCCCCCCAGCGTTTCCAGCGCTTCGACCAAGAGGTGGCGATTCACGCAGGCAGCAACGCCAACTGAGCTCAATCAAGCAGCAGCAAGCGGCAGCAGCAGCAGCAGCGGCAGCAGCAGCGGCAGCGGCGGCGGCGGCTCCTCCGAGCGGGGCAACGGGGCCTGCATGGCGTTGGTGAGGAGCGCGTTGGCGCTTTCCCCCTGGAACCTCCTCCCTCCCGCAGCCCTGTGCCGTCCGACGGTTGCCGGGGCCGCCGCCTCTGACCATGCCGAACCCCCTCAGGTGCGGGCTCGGGGGGGAGGCAGGTGCACGGGTTCGCCAGGAAAGATAGGGGTCTTGAAGCAAACGGGTCCTGAGGACAAGCAGGGAGGTCGAGGTTCGAGGTTGTCCTGCGTTTTCGTGTGTTCCAGGGGATTATTTCAGCCTCGGAACGCTTTCCAGCAGCTGCGCCTCGCCGAGAGCGTTCCGAGAGTGCCCGAATCATCCCGAACGGCATCCAGAGACTTGAGTTACGACCCGGAAACAATAATCCTTGCGCGCGCACACACACAGACACACACACACACACACACACACACACAGCAGCAGCCGCGCGCAGACGGCGCAGTGGCAGGGAAAATTGCGACAGGTGGCAGCGTGCGAGCACATGCAAAAACATACATAAGTTATGAAAGAATCGACTGTACGACAGGCGGCCCGATTGCCGACCATGGAAAGGCTATCCTATGGGGTGCGATGTGAAGACATGCAGACAGTGCGGAAAAACAGGGCGGGAAGGGAGGAGCAGGGAGGGGGAGGAGAAGGAGGGGGACAGAAGAGGAGCGATCAGCCAATCTTGCATCAAGATTGGACAGCTGCCGCCAGCTCGCTTCGTCGCCGAAAAGACTCTGGAGTCGTCCCAGGTCGCGCCCAGGCAGTTCCAAAACTTTTGAACGCTTGCACGTCTTCCATTGCAGACGCGGCCTGCCTCGAACGCGTGTGCTACCCCACTTCCGGGGCGAAACACAAGAGTTGCCCTCGATTGAAAACAGCATACCTCTTGGGAGGCTGCACGGGGGCTCCCGGGCGAGCCTACCATACAGCAGTAATTGGCGGTGCAATAGCGTTGTAGACAGGCTATGTACGATCACTGTCTGCAGAACGGCCGCGTTGCCGACTTTAGACAAATACGCTGGCAAAGTATTAAATGTGTTCCTCTATCATCGCGCTTGGAATGCATCTAGCTTCGCCCTGTTAGCCTTTCACAGCATGCACGATTCGACGCCATACAGCAGTTTTGATATAGCACAAGATTTAGAGACTAAGAGCTTGCACTGTTTGCTTATGAATTTGCATGTTCCCATGCCGTGCGCAATTTCTCAAATGTCCCTTTGGCCTCTCCAAGGCGCCTGGTCAGCTCATTGTGTGGCGGGCCGTCTACACTCAGAAGACCACCAAGGTACACAGCACTCTCTTTGCACGGGATGGCTACGCCGTCTGGCCCAATTACCACGGAGGGAAGTGTTTGAGACGTGTCTGGCAGCTTCCGCGGAAATTCAAGGGCATCAGCGCATGCCTCGGGCCTCGAGAGCGCCGCGTGAGAGGCTTCCAGGGGGTCACCCAGGAGATCCCAGGGAGCTCTTCCCGAGGGACTCCGGACGCGTCCCGTGATCCTGCGCGCACTTCCGAGGCGCCTCGAGAAGGTCGCCATGAAGGAACGGGGTCCCGAGGGAAGCGGGTCCTGGACCCTGGGGGCTCTCCCGGGGACGGGCTCTTCATCCTGAGCAGTTGCTGACGGTCTGGGGGCCCGTGGAGGACCCCGAAAACGGCGGATAGCTATAGCTCCTCCTCCTCCTCTTCCTCCTCCTCGTCCTCCTCCTCCTCTTCCTCCTCCTCCTCCTCCTCCGCCTCCTCCTCCTCCTCCTCCTCCTCTCCAGGAGCCCTTGCCTCCAGGACGTGCCCCCCCTTCCTGACGAGAAGGAGGAGCCCCCGGGGAGCTGCCGCCGGAGAGGCTCCTCCTTGGAGGCGGGTGGAGGCGGGGGAGGGCCCTGCAGTCGGTGGTTCCAAGGAGTCCTGAGGGATGGGTTCCTAAGGACGAAGCGCACGAATGAATGTTCAAAAATAATCAAGAAATAGTCTGGGGACGATTTTTTGTACAATAAGTAATGGACCATTGGGGGGTATTTGTTTGATTTTTTTTCTGCCAAAATCCGCCTGCAGGGGAACATGCCCGACCTGACCTTAGGCCCCCGTCCCTCAGGACCCCCTCTTTGGACCACCGACTGCAGGGCCCTCCGCGAAGTCTCGGCGAGCGGCGGGCCCCCCTCCCGCGGGCGCCGCGGAGCTCCGCGTCGAGCAGCGCCCCCCCCCCCCCCCCCGACCACCGAGGTCGGGGTGCTGCCGGGGGTGGCCGGGGCCCTGGGGCGTCCCCGGCTCGACGCGCCACGCCCGGGGCCCTTTCTTTGGGGGGCCTTGCCAGGAGACCCTGGGGACACGGCGCGCGGAGGGCGGCGTTCCGAGAAGCCGGCAGGGCTTCTACCAACAAAAATCAAAGTGAGATGTTGAAATGAGGCCTGGAGAGCTTCTCACAAGGAGGGGGCCCTCTTAGACGCCCTCCCGGGTTCCAGAAGACCTCAGAAACCCCAGGGCCTCGTCTACTAAGCCCCCTGCCTTCTATGGAGCACTCCTTGGTTCCAGAGAAGCCTTATGGGAAACCCCAGGGCCTTGTCTCAGAAGCCCCCGTGCCTCCTAAGAAGCCCACTCCCTTCTCAGAAAGGTCTCTCCCATCGCGCCACCCCCCTGTGCGCGCCGCCAAACCTTTGGCCCGGGACACCCTTGGCACCACTCGACGGGGGGGGGGGTACTGGCAAAGACCTCCCGGGGCGGGGGGGTGGAGAGGGGGGGGCACATGTGGATTTCATAATAGTGGCGCGTTCCAGAAAGGGCCTCAGAGGGCTGGCGAAAGCAAGCGACGGCGGGCAACTCGGGCGGATGCCAGCGGACGGTCGGCGGAGGGTTGCGCAAGCAGAAGTGGGACGCCAACATGATTGCGGTTCCAGGTCTCCCAAGCTGGCCATCTCTATATCGGGGGGGGGGGGCGGTTTCCACCCTCAAAGGCGCAGGCGCGGCCGATTTCTGAAGATTTCCAGGGACAGTCTTCTTCGATTTCCTCCTTGGCTTGGGGTCTCTGGCCGTCGATTTCAAGCTGCCCCAGCTCAGGACCCTCACGGCAGCAAAAGTGAAGCGGCGGGTCGAGGAGCAGGAGGTCGAGGCCCCTCAGCGTTGTTCACAGGGGATCGTGGCTGCCCGGACCAACAATGCAGCCAGCATGGAGGCGACGGCGCGGCTCCCGCACAGATGGTGAGCAGGCCTCTGGCGGCACGGTCGCCAGGCCGAACTTCCTGGGGCTCCCCGCCCCCTTTGTGGGACTCTTCCGTTGCTTCTGTTCACCTTGCATCGAAGAAGGAAAACCATACAAACATGAACTGTTGGCGCTCCGCGCGGATTTCTTGGATTCGCGCTGGATCCCCCTCCCGGGCGCGCGGAGCGCGCCAGAAGCGGCGCCGGAGGCGCCAGGCGCGGATCCAAGAAATCCGCGCGGAGCGCCAAAAGTTTATGTTTATGGCGTTGTTTGTTTTTTCGATTGTAGCAGAACCCCCTTAGCGAAACGCTGCTTGCACTACAATGCAATACATTGCTTGCAACACAAGAATGCAATACAATCCTCCAGCGCAATACATTTGCAAAGCAAGTGCCCCAAGTCTATTGCTTGGGTCACCCGAAAACCCTCGTAGCGAAACGCTGCTGGGGAACTCGGGGCCTCGGGCCGCCGATGTCGAGCGAGATCCGCGGGAGCGCCGGCTGCGTGCCCGCTCGTCCCTCGCAGCGGGAGTGCGGGTGGATCGCGCTGGGCCCCGATGGGTCTCGGGCCTGCGGGCCCAGGCCGATCCGTGCTCCGCAGGAGGAGGAGGAGGAGGGGGAGGAGGAGGAGGAGGTGGGGGAGGAGGACGAGGGCCCCAGCCCCCTCCAGCTTACGGTGATGGTGGTGGAGAACAGGCCCATCATGCCCTGCCTAGCCGCCGACGCAAAAAGTGCTCCGCACTCCTCCTGCTCCTGCGGGCCCCGCCCCTGCGAGCGCAGGCCCGCCGGCGGGAGGCGGCCTCCGCTGACGCCTGCGCCCGCGCGCGGCGGCGAGGGTCGCCGCGGGGGGGGGGCGGCCCGGCAGAGCATCCGGCACGGCGGGAGCCCTGCAGGGCTCGTTTCGATTCGTCCGGCCCGATTCGGTTCGACGTCGGCGGCTTCGGTTTTCGATGCGATTCGACTTCGGAGTCCGACTTGGGCTCCGAGTCCTCACTGGAGGCCTACTCAACTGCCGATTTTCGCCGATGCGACGTTTCCCGATTCGGCTGCCGGTTTTCGCCGGTCCGAACAATTCCGATCGCCGATCCGACTTAGCGATTCGATTATTGGTTCTCCTGGCCTTGGGCGTCGCGGGAGGGTGGGGCGACTGCAGGGGGTGTGGTTCGGAGGAGACAAAGGGCACCGAGGCCGCTACCCCAACTTTCGCAAGCAAAGCGGGACCCTCCCCAGACAAGCCCTAAAAGGGCGGCTTTTGGCCCGGACCCCACTGGAACCTTCTAAGACGGCTCAAATCAGACCCCGCCCAAAATGGGACACCCCCCACTTTATCATGGAATCTGGAGTACCCTTGCCTCGTTTGCCCATTTGGGGGCCTTCTGGGAGGCCCTCGTCGCCACCGCTGGATTCGCCTCGAGATCCTGGTCGGAACGAACCCCAGGAGAGGTCTGGGGAGCAGCGGCATTGGTACCGTCTGGTGTCCCCAGTGGTTGAGCCGGGGATGTGGTTTGCGGTCGGCGCCGGCGGGGCTCAAGGGGGCATCACGGCATCACGTTGCCCTCGTCGGGTCTCCTCGGGGCGCGGCGGAGAATTCTCTTGAGGTCCTCGCCCGGCCCCCAGGGTTGGGCGTCGCGTGATTGTGGAGTGATGAACTTCGAACAACAAAAACACGGCGCTAGCACAAAGTTAACGGGGGGGAAGAGAGGGCCTGGCCCTCGAGCATCGAAGGGGTTGCCATCGCTTGCCCGGCGGAGGGCGGCAGGAGGGCCTCGCGTACGGCTGGGAACTGCCGGGCGGCGTGTCGCGCCGCCAGTTCTGAGCGCGACGCGCCATCCGCTTCCTTCAAGCAGTGGCGAAGCGTCCTGGCGTGCCTATAGGCCTACCTAACAATGTTCAGGAGGGAAAAAACACACAGACACAATTAATTTGCGATTCCCAGAAAATATGGGAAAATATGGGAAGTGGGGGGGAAGACAAAAACCCCGAAAATATGGGAAAATATGGGGAATCATTTTATTTGTGTGTATTTATTTGTGTGTCCCAGTTTCCCTTCAAATGCTGTCAGAACCTTGCGTGGTCTCTAAGAACATGTCGTGGTAGGCCTATAGCAATGCCGGGACGGTCGGTCCCTGCTCAACTGCCGGTACCGAGGCGTCAGCGCCCCGAGCATTTCCCCACCTCCCGCCCCGCGGGGCGGAGCGACACGCTATCCACTCGCAAGGCTTAAAGCGGGCCTGTCCCTCTACAAGGGGGATGTTCAGAAATAGTCCAAAAATAGTCTGTAACCATGTTTGAATATTGTGGAGTATCTGTCGTTTTCCTCGAAAATCGCCCTGTAGGGGGACATGCCCGACCTAACGCAAGGCATAGCATGTCGCTGGGGCCGCCGGGGCGATACGCTAAGCAAGAGCTCCTGGCCGCAAAATGGGGGGGGTGAAGAGAGGAGTGCACATGTCGTCCACCTTCGGGGCCCTAAAGGGGCTCCCATGGGCCCAAAGGGTGCACGTTTTTCCTCGCCCCCGCCCCATCCATCGCCGCCCCATCAGGCAACGCCAAAGGGGGGGGGGGTCGGGCGGCTGGCCACTAGGGCACGAAAGATGGGAGGATCGAGGTCTGCAGCAAACTGGCCCTGAAGGGGCCCTGCACAGCGTCCAGACTGCCTGCCACCGCGGGCCCAGACGGTGCCCCAAAGGTGCACGCTTTTTTTCACCAGACGTTCACTCCCCCCTCCCTCCTCCCTCCTCCCTCCTCCCTCCCTCCCTCCTCCCTCCCTCCTCCCTCCTCCCTCCTCCCTCCTCCCTCCTTCACTCCCCCCCCGTTGACGAACACCAGAGGAAGAGTAGGGCTTCTGGGTCCTCCTTCGTTCGGCTGCGCGCCCAGGAGGGGAAAGCGGATGGGGCGGGCCTGCTCGGAGGGCTCAGAAGGCCTCCGGCTGTCCGAGAAGGTTTCTAAGTCTTCTCCGAAGCCCCGCCACCTTCTCAGAAGGCCTGCCCCTGGTGGTGTGCAGGGGGCCTCCGTCGGTTCCTGCAGCTTCTCCTGCCTCGGGACGCGCTCCGGCGGCCGCGCCTCGCCCGAGAGCCTGCCAGGGGTGCCCGACTCGCCCCGAACGGCCGCTGGAGACCCGAGCTCTGACCCGAAAGCCACGTGACCCTTCGCTGGGGTGAGCTCTGGTGTGCGGCTGTCGGTGGGCGTGGGCGGGGTGGGGGGGGGGGGCTGGTGGAGCTGAGGGGCAGACCTGAGCACGCGGGCCGCTGCTGCCTCGTCGCACGCGGCGCTCGGCAAGTCGCGCCGCACCGAGGATCACCCTTCTGCCTCGGGGCCACTCCTGCGCGCGGCCGGGGGGAGCAGACCTCGGACCCCGAAGGCATCGCGCGGGAGGTTTCTCGCCGTGCCCGGCCTCTTGGGGGGGTTGTTGCCCGGCCCGGAAGGGGCGTCAAGAAAACGCTTCCGGTGGAGGGGTGTGGCAGCTCTCGGGGGCAGGGGGCCCGAAAGCTCGAGTCGTAAGGGGTCGGGGGCTGGCGAGGTGCGGGAAGCTCCCCGAGGCAGGAGCAGGAGGGAGAGAAGGAGCAGGACGACGACGACGACGAAGAAGAAGAGGAAGAAGAGGAGGAAAAAGGGGAGGAGGAGGAGGAGGAGGAGGTCCTCCTCCGTCTCCTCCCACCTCCACCACCTGCTCCCTCACTCGTGCCTCCTTCCTATCCGTTCCGCATCATGAGTGCCTCGTCCACTTTCTCCGTCCTTCCTATTATGCCCACCCCTCTTCCTCGTCATGTTACCCCTCCTCATCTTCTTAAATCCTAGCCCTCATCACCCTCCAAGTCAGAGTATAGAAATGGCAATGGGCATGTAATCGCAGTGCGACGTCGGAAGCGTAATGGTATTGCGGCACTCGGAAGTAGGAGGATACGCATCAGGTTGGCCACATCTGTATGCTTGACGGCGGTGACGGTTGACTCCGATCGACGTTCGGACATGCATCTTCCAGAGTTTGTTCACGCGTCTTGTCAATACCAAGTTGTGGGGACCTGCATCACAGACATGTCACCAACCTGAATGGTAGCGCGCCCATTCGCACGCTGTGTCTGCACGAGGCCGCAGCCCATAGCTTTGCCGTTCGGCGTCCTTGCCACCACCCAACAAACGTGTGGCCGAACGCATGATAGGTTCCCAGTGGTGGACGCATGTGGGAAACAACAGCACACGAGCACGGCATGGTATGCGCCATCGTGTGCCTCCTGCTGCTCGCTTTGCAAGGCAGGTCGTGGTACGGGTGTGCAGCGAGCCCATGACTCTGACGCTGAACAGTGACGACCGATCTGCTGGCTGTAGCAACAGCATGTTCAAATGACCAGTAGCTGCGCTACCTTGCGGATCGACGACCGCGGTTAGGAAGGCTGCGTAACATGAACATGAACGGCTCCACGGGCCCTTCTCCTTGGAGGGCCACTTCAGCCGTTCGTTGGGACTGACACGCCTCAGAAAACAGACTTGCACGACGGACGCCTGCCGCTGCGAGCGAGGTGATTGATGCTACGATCGGACACTGGCCGACCCATCTCCTCCTCCGACGTATTCTTCTCGCGACGTGAGCCCCAGGGAGATCTAAATCCCTTCCCGGAAAGCGGCTTTTTCATCCTGAGTCGTCTGCTGATGGCCTTGGCGCCGAGAAGCGGCAAGCGGAGGCAGAACAGTTGCCCAAACCAGCCGCCGCGAGTAATGTTCCGACCCCCAGATCTGAAAGACCCCGAGAAATTCAGCTGAAGGATCGAATTTCGGAGTGCCCCAGGCGGCGTCGGGCTTCGGCACACTGCGGGCCGGGGTTCTCGCGCTAGGGGGCTGCCAATACAGTCGGGGCCCTGAAGAAGGAACCCTTTTCGTTGGGGAGGGGCTCCGTGTTCCTTGATTGTTTCACAGCTTGCCTTAGGCTTTCCTTAGGTTTTCGATGGGGAATCGAACTTTAACTGATGGGAAAAAGGGGCCTCGTTCCTTATTTAGCGTTCCTTAGGTCAACGCCCCCACTGTAGGGGGGTGATGACTTGGAGGGGGCGGATGCCATGGCCGGGCCCCTGAGATCTCTCGCTGGAGTTCTCGGCCTCCTCTTCTCGTTTCAATCCGTCCCCTGCCCCCCCCATGGGCTGCGCCCATGCCTCGGGCCACGATCTGCGAACCTCCTCCTTGAACGCTTGCTCGAGATCCTCACGCTTGGAGGCTGGACGCCGGCGGTAAATCGTCAACCGGGCTAGCGCCGGGGACCTCGTAGAGCTCCCAGTCACTTGCTATGGCCGTCGTCAAGAAGAAAAGGCTGCGCCGTAGCGTAGCACAAAAATGGTTGCACCTTGATAGTGTGTTTTTGAAGATAGATCTAGCACTAGATCAATATTCTGTCTCACGAGTCCGTAAACTAGTGCTTCCAATACTTCTGAATCGGTTTCTGCATTCAAGTGCTCTCTCTAGCTGCTCGATATCACGAAATATTTCAGGAGAACCGCGTAAAGCAGCAACATAGCTCCAGAGTGAGATTAGTTGTTCGATCGTAGCCCGAGTAACAGAGCGAGCACAGATCTCTCAGAGTGGCAGGCCGAAGCCACTGTTGCACCCGCGTTCACAAACCGACAGATATCTGGACACACTCCCAATTTCGTGCTTTAGTCGAAACGTTGCTCAATGGAGCCTGCTTGGACGCTTGCTCAAGACCCTCATGCCTGGAGACGACGAGTGAGAGGACGTTGTGGGTAGTGCATGAGCGTACGCTTGCCAATGCGCCTTGGGCGTATGGCATCTGTCTGTCTATCTGTCTGTCTGGATGTCTGTCTGTCTGTCCTCGTGGGTGCCCCCCCTCTAAGACGACCCCGACGCGCCGGATGTCGGGACCTCGCCAGCCTGTCAGGGCCCACCCGCGGATCTGCCGATGCCCGCGCTGGCCCTTCGAGGGCTGCGCACCACCTCGGGCGTCGCAGGAGGCGTTCGGATGATTCGTCGGGAGCGGAACAAATAACGCACGCTCAAACTTTACGCGAATTCTCCGTTGCACCGACGTTTCTGACACGATGCTAGCCTCGCGGATTGAGGGGACGTACTCATGTGCGTGGCTGGGTGCGCACGTCTTTTGCTCAACCGCTCGGGGGCCACATCGACCCCCAGTCGTCAGTTCGTCGCAGGGAGGAGCCCGATAGCCCACACCGCCCAGGAAGGTTCCGTTTCGCTATCAAGAGCTTATCGCCGAGCTATCGGCGACGTATCGTCGATTCAAGCTCAATGTTTCCCCCTGTTTCGGCCCCAGTTGTCGTTGACCTCCAACCCTGCCCGAGCGACGAACCGTCCACCGATGCTGTTGCTTGACGAGGGGTGTTGCGCCGAAAGGCCAGAGAATGACAGCAGGACAGCGAGCTCGGTGCTAGAAGTGCCCCATGGAGTGATCCCTGGGGAGAGACGACGGGACAGTTGATGTGACCTGCGTGCAGAGACTGAAGGAGAGGGCGAGCAAGGGGAAGAGAGAGAGAGAGAGGAGAGAGAAGAAGGAATGGAGAAGGAGAATGGAAGGAGAATGGGAGGGATGTGTAGGACGCAAACATTAGCAACGAGGGCCAGGAGTAGAAGCAGCTGGGTGGGGAGAAGGGAGGAGGGACAACGAGGAGGAATAGATGCGAGGACTGGGAAGGAGCAGCAGCGAGAAAGAGCACTGACGAGAACGATGCTGGAGGAGGAGGAGGAGGAGGAGGAGGAGGAGGAGGAGGAGAGGGAGGAAGAGGAGCATGCAGAGCAGGCGGAGGTTGGGAACATCCACAGGGGATGAAGAGGCGGAGAAGGAGGAGGAGGAGGAGGAGGATGCCGACGACGACACGGAGGGGAGAGTTCCGCAGCGCTCTACGGGCAGGGAAGGATGCCGACGCACTCCTGGAATGACCTCCAGCAGGGGGCGCACGTGCGTGAGCTCATGTTTAATTCCGAGCTCACGCATGAGCTTACAAGCACGCAGGCCCTCTCAAGACTCATATGGGTTGCGGTTCCCGGGCCCCCGCGGTCTGCCCATGACGGGGTGTCTGCAAAAGGTCCCATCCCCGCACGGGCAACGTGAACCGAAGAAGCGCAAGGGGGCCGCAAGCTCATAGGAATGCCTGCCGCTTCGCGTATTTCCACCAGCTCATCCAGAACCGATGCCCAGATGACTTGTCTTGTGAGCCTCAAAGAGGCCTCCTGGAGCCATCTGGGGAGGAGGAGGAGGAGGAGGAGGAGGAGGAGGAGGACGCATACGAGGAGGAGGACTAGGAGAAAGAAGGAAAAAAGAAGGAGGAGGCAGTGGAGAAGAGGAAGGCCTTCGCGGATCTTTGCTGGTCAGGTCTCTTGGAGGCGTCTTCGAGCACCATGGGTAGAACAGGGGAGGGGAGGGAGGGGCGGGAGGGGGGGAGGGGCAATTCGCGCCCCTCCCCCCACGCCCCTCCGCGGGTAGAGCACATGCATATTGGGGCCATCTTGGGAGCCTTCCTGGGGCCTCTTGGGCCGTCTCGGGGCCCCTCCTGGGCTCATCTTGGGAGTCTCTTGGGCCACCTCGGAAACATTTTGACGCCTCAGAGGCCCATCGAAAGGAAAAAGCGAGAAGCCTGAATCAGTAGTGGTCGTTAGGTTTTGAACGGAGTTTGGCCTCCTGGGGGTGTCCTTGGGGAGCCCCAGGGACTTTGGGGACCTTCTTCGAACATCCCAGACGTATGTCGGAGGCCATCTTGGGACAGCGGGGGCTACATTGGAGTCATCTACCCATCAGGCCCTTCTGCACATCGCCATTCCCCAGACTTTAGGGAGGGCGGGTGAAAGATAAACCCCTCCCTGCATAAGCGTATAAGCGCGAGGGCTGGTGGGATTCGGTGGATTCGCGGTTTCATTATGTCTCTTTGATTCCGTGCCGGTTCGTGACAGTTCGTCGATCTAGGCGAGATCCTTATTTCCCAGCTCTCAGAATTTCAGCTGGCATCTGCTTTCGATGTACATATCGAA